AACTTAATCTGCATGCACGTACGGCCCCTATCCCCAAAGTGGGTGGTCTTTCCCGCGTGGTACCCAAGTAAGACCCCGCCAAACTTCTTTACGGGTAAGCTGATAACTCGCGAACCAGAAAAGCTGGAGAACTGAAATTTTATGGGGATGTTCCCCGTCCAAGCAGGTGCTATTGAGCTCAAATCCAGTCCCTGGGTAAGCGTGGTGCCCGCGTACGGGCCCCCCATAATTTTTCCCGCGTAAGTTCATAACTTGGGGTTCTGACAAGCCAGAGAGCTGAAATCTTAGGGGGTGTTCCTTGTCTAAGTGGGTGTCAACAAGTTCAAACCTGCTTGCAGGTAATCGTGGTACCTACGTACAGGCCCGCGGGCAAGTTACTTACTCGAGAACGTGAGAAGCTAGAAGACTGGAATTTTGAAGGGATGTTTCCTGACAGTTCTGGCGGCCAGTCTGAAATTCTTTCAGCTAGAAGCATCTGCCGAAAAAACCGATGCCGGTAGCGACAGAAACTGCGGCGAACTCTGCAAAAAACGCATCTTCGCACGGGCAGCCCTGGAAGCATCTGCCGAAAAAGGGATGTTTCTTGACAGTTCTGGCGGCCAGTCTGAAATTCTTTCAACTAGAAGCATCTGCCGAAAAGTGTTTTCTGACAGTTCTGGCGGCCAGTCTGAAATTCTTTCAGCTAGAAGCATCTGCCGAAAAAACCGATGCCGGTAGCGACAAAAACTGCGGAGAACTCTGCAAAATACGCATCTTCGCACGGGCAGCCCGTGCGTTGGCCAATTATTTAAAAGTTAGCTTCACTGCCTCGCTGTTCACCTCATCTGTGCTTGAAAATGACTGCTTTCGCATGTTACGTAACTTGCTTTTCATTCTGTCCGGATAAGGATGGCACTTTTGCAGTACACACACTTCCTATCTTTGAAATTCAATCGCATATTTGCAAAAAAAAGCGATAAAATAACGTGGAAACAGGCTGACCCCTGGTGCGACTTGTGGAATGCCTTCATCAGGATGTCTTCTGATTTGTCCTCCTTTGACATGTCATGAAATGCTTGTTTTTTTTTTCAGGAGCACTTACGATTATTTTTATGCAAATCGGCATGGAAGAATTTTTGCCGAGTTTTTTTCCGAGAAGTTGATTTAACGAATAACAGCCCAATTCATATTCGATTGAAAAGTCCGAACATAACATGTAACAGTTGAAAATCTTTCATTTTTTACTTCACATGAATTAAAAATTCGATTGTCAGATCATGAGTACTACATTCAGACTATTGAAATTTTAACGTGCTCACAGGGAGTAAAAGAGATGGGAGCCAAATTCATTCGTACGAAGCAAAAATGTAAAATATCAGGGCGAGTTTTGCGAAATTCCTGCTTTTTTTCCATATTCTTTCTAGCTTACTATCGAAACGAATGAACAAATCTTTGAAGGATTTACTTTCCCACTGATGGGTCTACCACGACTTTATCATGAGTTTTGTGCTGCAACAGTAGCAAAAAACTTGCTGTCGTGGGCCTGTGTGTTTGTTTCGAGTGCATTTTGTCCAGGCTCTGCGTTTTGCACCTCTTCCATACTTTGACATCCAAGGTCAACCTGGTTGCTACAATCAGCTTATGGGCATAAAATCTAACTCAGTAGGCGCTTATTTTAGCTACAAAAGGCATTAAACTCATTTGGGAAGTACTAAGTTAGTTGTTTGTGAAATGAGTGGATCTAAGAGCGTTTGCCATGTGTATTGGCAAATCGAGGCAATAATAGGATTAGATTGGCGTGCTTTAACTGGAAGATGTCTAAAATGCGGCGGAGAAGAGGTGGGAGGGGGTAGGTGGTCACTATAACAGCGGATTTGTGTCGTGTAATGCATTTTCATCACTTTTTTTTTATCATATAGAGAATTCGTTAAGGTTTATTGTGCTGTTTTCAGTGCCAGAGGAGATCACTGAGGAGGATCGTCGTATGGTAGCGAACATTGACAATATTGAATTGCCAACATTTGCTCCGCAATATGATCCACCTGTATCCAGTGTTGGCCAAAAATCAAGTAAGGCTTACTGTAGACCGTAGCCCTTTAAGCAGTATTTCTTGTTTTTTACTCCTGTCTCATTCTGAATATCATGATATTTCTGTTTTCAGTTGGTAATTATGGAGCTGTACTGATGATTCCCACCTCTAACCACACCTCGCATTGTCTATGTTTACAGCTAAGGGATAAAACGCGGACAGACCACTCTACATATACCCGGAACATGACCATCTTACCTGCCTGCTGGTTTATTCCTCATTAACGACCCTAACTATCTCACTCACCACCATTTTTTATTAAATTCTGTTCTTCCAGCCTTGGACTATGTGGAGTTCAACTGTGCTGAGCTTCCTTCGGTTTTTACAATCCCCTTCCTTTTTGTGTGTTTTTTGCGTTATGCAATGCAAAAACGCATATTGACGAGGGGTTGTCTGTGTGTGCGTCTGTCACGCACTTTCATC